TAAGGTTCACGGTTTTAAGGTTTAGGGTTTGAGGGTTTAGAAGTTAAGGTTGAGGGTTTTAGGGTTTAGTGTGCAGGTTTAGGGTTTCAGGGCTTAGGGTTTTAGGGTTTTAGGGTTTACGGTTTCTCAGCAAAGGGGGCTTTTATAAGATCTTGTAAAGGTCCCTTTGGGTGGTCTCTCTTTCACGTATACATTGGGCTTCAGCTGCCTGAACTCTGCTGATTTGTAGGGAATGCGGGCATGGATCCCTATAATAGCCTAGCCGTCAAGAAACCCTATCAAAGTCACTATATCGGATACCTTCACTTCTTAACAGCCACCAGATTGGAAAAGGAACATGCGCCTAAACCCTGAACCCTCAAAAAAATGTTGTAGAACACTGCAGCAAGAGTAAGGCCCACAATCCTGAGCTCTATGTACCCCTATACCGTTTATAACTTATATAGCCCTATGTAGCATACATATATAAATGTATATATTTATTTCTTTATCTATTTATATGCAATCTAGCCTTCTATAACTCGCTTGAAGGAAGACCAGCCGGCTGGCCAGCACACGCAGCTGGCTGTCGTTGAGTTGGGAGGTTCAAGCATAATTATGGGCCTGAGGTCTTTGTACTGGATCTATAGGATGTACAATGTTTGATCCTGCACTTACACCAAGTAACTAGGCCATATAGGTACTGAACCGGCAATCCCTACCTAATCACCTAAGACCCCAGCAGCAGGCCATGCATCGTTGTCCATTTCCTTCTGCATTAATCTNNATTATCCCAATATAACCCCAACACCAACTTGGACCCTAAACCCTAAACCTTAAACCCTAAACCCTATATACCCTATATTCTATCTACTTAAGGGGGACCATGTAACCCTAAAGTGTCCAGCCTTCCGTCACGTACTCTGTCGTCAGATGCTGCGGCGGAGCCGGGATGCTCAGTACCTCCACAGCTAAACAGGAACTTGTAGAGGGGTTTAGGGTTTAGGGCTATATCATTATGTAATATAACCCCAATATAACCCTATATCATATAGGGTTATATGGGGGTTATATTACTGTTTTATTGGGGTTACATAGGGATGATGGAAAAGAAACAATGGAAACTACTTTTAGTACCTCCACAACCAAACAGGGACACCATAAACTGGGTTGCTGTTAAGGAACTTAAATTAAGTTACCATAATGGGTTTAGGGTTTAGGGTTACCATAATGGGTATATAATGGAGAATCAAATTCAAAATAAAATGGAAAATAAAATGGAAACTGGGGGAATATAGGGATTTAATGGACTTAAATTAAGTTATCATAATGGGTATATATATATAGTAAATAATAGGGTTTCCCCAATATAGTAACTTAAATTGAGTTCCTTAACAGCAACCCAGGAAAGTAACAGCTAGGTGAAGGCGAGCTACTCTTTACACCATGCATGGTTACATATAGGGTTATATCTGGATTAGGGTTATACCGGGTTATACTAGGGTTACGTACCTGGCTGCTGCGGAGTAGGCCTGGTTGGCCAGATTGCTTCACCCACATAGCTGGGCTCTGAGATAAACATGATTGGTACAAAGGACTCTGGAATATTCTCCTGTCCAGCTGGTAGTTTCCCTAAATGCGGAGACCCCAATGTAAACGTAGACCCCAATACACCCTAATCCTTTTTATGGGGACCCCCAGAAGGTACCCCTAAATTTTTGGAAACCCCCATCTTGGTCTGAGTTGGTAGAGAACTGTGAAACCAAGGTGTTCGACTCCGGTAGTGCCCAAAGCTGTCCACAAACCAGTGCTGAAACATCTAAACCCCAAACCCTAAACCCTAAGCCTAAAACCTAAACCCTAAACCCTAAACCCAAAGCCCCAGCGGGGAGCTTCATGGTCTTTACAACCCAATAAGCCTATGAACACCGGCCCTATTTCTTCAGCTACGCTAGGTTGCCATCGAGGAACTTGACTTAAGTCACCACAACATGGGTATGTAGTAAATAATCCTAAGCCCTAAACCCTTATTATTCTACATTCTCTTATGTTTCTTGACAGCAGCCCCGCTAAGTGGGTGATATTGGGTGATACTTACCCATGAGCCTCCAAGTAGATCTACATCCTTTCAGGGGCTTCCCCTTAATCATCCCTAACTAAGCCTAATTACCACTAAATAACCTTAATTTAAATGGAACCCGGGGGGGGTAGTATAGGGGGGAGTAGTGGGGGAACCCATGATCCTTGCTCATTACTGGCCTACAACTCCAGGCCCAACCAATGAGCAAGCCCAAAACCTCCGAGTTTAGGGGCCTGAATAATCACCCATATCTTCTGAGCACTATTGAGGGACCCTATACCACAGTTGTATGAGGAAGCTAGGACAAGGATACTCCTAATTATTCAGGCCCCTACAGTACACCCTAAACCCTAAATCAGAATTTCCGGATCTGTGACGGCAATGAGCCTAGCCTGGGTGAAAATGGTGGACGAGCTGGTCTCCTTTCAGGCTGCGGGTTCATTAGAACCCTTTTTTTACCCAGGACTGAGGCTCCAGCCTGACTGCATCTTGCTGTTGCAAGCAACTAAACCCTAAACCCACTAAACCTTAGAACCATACAACCCTAAACCCTTTCAGGCTGTGAGCTCATTAGCGAGAGCCTAAGTGCCGCTTTTTTATGCTTTTTTACAATGCCACATCCGCGCTCGCGATCCAACATGGTCCAACAACCGTGTAGCATGCCTAGCCAAACGCTGCAGGTGGGACAAACCCAGCTTACATGCTTTGACAGAACATCACATTGCCACAGAACAGCTGCATAGCTGCTTCGTCGGTGAAACTGCACAAGACCGTCAACAACAGCACTTCCATCTCAACGTGTTATCTCGTATGCTAGTGTGAACTATCAAGATCGCTGCTACAACCGTCTCCTGCGTGGTGTTCGCGCCAGGGAAGATCCATTCCTGAGAAGCGTCGGACTGCTCTACAAGCGGATGTAGATATGCCCACATGATGTCGTGGCCCGGCCCATCACTCATAATGCAAGATGCACAGGGGAAGGGAATCTCTATCATGGAATCAAAGATCCTGTTGATCTCCTTACTAAACGGCCGCCACGTTACCTTGTACGGCTTGAAGCAGGCCCTAAACTCTAAACCCT